CCTCGATCGCACTGCAAACAGTGTGGTTACGTCATCCACGCGAATGAGTTCTCTCGATCATGACCACTGAAGCTCACCGGAAACGAATATCTACTTTAACCCAACCCGGCCGTTGGATACTCTGACTAAATACCGACAAAAAACCGCCGCTCACTTCTGTGATATATACAGNGGTACGCTAGTGTAGGACATCCAAGTGTTTCACTGAAGCCACCTGAAGTACTTTGACAAAGACTGTCAGGGAATGTATGAGAATGCCGCATACAGTGTGTCAGGTACGCAATCGTTTTTTAAGCCAAACAGTGACACCCGCTGTGTTTATTGTCAATCCTTGCTAGAGTTCGCTCTCATCAATTATTTTCACCTAAGATAATCACGACCACTTTACCGCAACGAACTTTGAATGCGTCGGCGCCCATTAATTCTGTTGAGACGGTCTATGGGAAACATATTGCTGGTCCCCTGTAATAAACACGAAAGGAGAGGTTCGCACAAATTAGGATTTTCCGTGAAGAGGATGTCGTCCCGATCCGGTGTAGAAGATCACAAGCCAATGTGATTGCCGAAAAGGGCACAAAGCTAAAAATCAGCTTTGGGCCCAAAATTTCGAGTGTGAGGATGATGCAGAAACGCGAGACAATGAAAGGAACGACGACTATGGAAAGAAATGAACAGTGAATTTCTTTCCTCAAGGATGTGACTACTACAATTTCATGTGATGATTTGGGTCACGATGGCTATCAATAAGTATCCGGAAACCTTTTGATAGTTGGGTGGGTTCTAACAGCTAGTATTCTCATTTTATCCGTGATTTGTATCGTTATCCGCACGTCTCTTACGGAGGAAAACATCTTCGCGAAGCGAATCAGGTCGATGGGTCTATATTTTGCTTCCCGTAGGTAGGGTACTAAAATTGTTTCGTCATGAAATCAACTATTATGCTGCTGCTCTGCTACGAAGTGAGGATCCATAGACTGTTTTAAAGTTCGCTTTTTAGGAATATTTATTAAGTTATTTTGTCATAGTGATTCTAAAAACGGATCATGAAATTGCAATGCGGATTATTTATTGATTATTTACTTCGATTAGCTGCATTTAACTTTGGGCGTGAAATGTTTGGGTGACTATCCGATTGAATGTTTAATGTGTGTAGGAATTGTTCTGGTGAGATCTTATTGAAAAAATATTAGTAACGAACAAACGACGTTATTTGAATAAAGAAGCTCAAACTGATAGACTTCCGGTAATATTTAATTAAAAGTTAATTTTTTTGAGTCCTCTCTTGCCGTTCAAACTAAGAAATTTATTTCTACTGCGGATTCATCACCACAGGGGAAAAATAAGACGTTTCCTGCATGTCATGCATGATCACAGAAGAAGGAAGCTACATAAATTGGACTAAGATAATTAGTCGGCGCTTATTTAATCAGGAATGTGAACATTTTTTCAAAGAGTCGAATTGGAAGCACTCAACTGAATTACACATAGCGGGCATAAAATAAAAGAATTGCAAATGTAAACTGAATTCAACGGGACTGGCCCCGTTGTTGACCGTTTTCTGCCGAGCATAGTTCGTTGTCGGAAGAAAACTGCCGATCGTATGCTTCAGGTAACACCAAAAGAGGAGACAGCCATCTTGGGTCCACCGTGGCATCGAGGTTGTCAAAAGCTAGCTTGTGATCAGAGTGGAACTCACAGCTACTTGAAATAAAGAATGCGGGTATGAACTTTGTCCATCTTGTTGTGGCCGATTCGTAGGCTAAAGGAATTTTGTGTTCACTGATTCCCAATCATGACAATACATTTCATTAAATATATCCTAATAAATTTCGTCCTCTACGGAGTAAATGAAACATGAGCTGAAACATGGGAAGCACTGGGCAGCTGTTTCGATCCGTTTGGGTCTCACCAGAAATAAAAATCCACCACCGTTAGATCGAATCAAGTTTCTAACTACTTCAGGTAAAAAGTAGTAAGAATCGGAATATAATAAAAAGAGCCCTAACCCTTGTGGCTTGGGCTGACCTATGTGAGGCATAATATCCACATTAAGCTTGGAAAGATCGTCTTTGCTATATTGTACACAGGCATGATAAAAATGGGATGATAAGCTCCCCGGTGGTAGAAAAAATCACATTTTATATTTCCCGGGTTGATTTGCATCTCGAGACCGGATTTGAGATGCACATTGATCAAAAAGGTTTTATTCATGCACAAACCAAGTTCATTTGTCAATGATGTTTATATAAAAATGTTAATATGATCATGGGGTGTTTGCTGGAGCTATTTGTCGCCCCATTGATCACGGCGAACGCTAGATAGTTCCAAAACGGTGAGGTCGTCTACCAGTTTAGCAGTTTCATACCGAACTGAAACGATCACATTGACGTCACCATCACACTCTGTGTCAGACCAGTGGTTCGCTAGTCAAGTCAAGTACAACTGGGTTTCACGCATCCCTTACGGTGATCCGTCTGGAACTTGAGTCATGTAATTCTAACTATAANNNNAAGTGGTAGATGTACGATTTACTTAGATAGGGGCGAGATGGACGATTAGGTTGTTTTGGTAATTGTTAGAACCGGAACGGAGAAACTTTAAAGAGTGCACATATGAGACTTATTTTTAGGAGGAGCCGAGACCGTATATGGCAGGTGATTCGAGCACACATATCAAAATGCTTTAACCCGATCAAAATCAAGCAGGGTAGTTTTAGGAATACTAATAAATGCACGGGAAAGAAGTTTTTATGGATCTAAAAGAGTGCTGGAGAATAGTACAATCAGTGTGAAAGAATGCAGAGCCTTACAAAATAGGGATTAAATTTCAGGGACTGGTAAGCATTTTGAATCTGAAAGCCTAGTAGGACGGTTTCCAAACCATACTGCTGATGATAGAAGCCTGTTTGGTTTTAGCCAAAAGGAATAGTAACTCAGTTGTCCTTAATGAGTGTCAGAGTTCCAGGTAAAAACCAACCAACTGAAAATTTGATTTAGACAGTTCCGGTCACTGTTAGGTTAGTCTAATCGAGGTATCCTACATTTTTTGAATGCTCCCGAACAAAGGACTTATGGATCCGCGAAACATACTTTCATTGCTGATAACAAAAATGAATGAAATCGGCTTCACATGGTTGACTTCTGCCGGTAGATTCGGTACTGGGTTTTGAATGAAACAGTGACTTGTTAACTGAACTCCTATTTCTATTTGGCTAACTTTGTCAAGTGGAAAACAAGAATTTGAGAATGGGATTCATTCTTTTTTCCTCCGCTTTAATTGTTAACATAGCGTTCAGGTTGGGACTGAAGGCGCTGTCAGAAAGGGCGCTTTACAGAATGATTTAGTACCTCAGCTGAAATACCTTTTAGAAGAATGACAGACACCTGGTCCATGTGTCGATATAATGTCATGTAAATCGGAGTAAAAAAACGGAATTATTCATAGTGACTAAATATAAATGCAGATCAGACAATGATCAGAAATGCTTCCACATAATGAAAAGATTGTACCTCTGTCCGAAAGGCATAGATGAACTAGCACATTGTGCAGCATATGATCTTTTTGCTCTAAATGTGAAGGTATAGTTGGCCCCATTATTATTATTATTCGAGTCGATTATATGAAGCTGATATACATTTTAAGACTTTCATTGGCGCTCAAAGCGGCACACAATGGGTTTACTGTGCGGACCGATCTTATCCACGGTTAACTCATCTTGTTATGTAACCCCCGAGATTTGAGTACATAACTTAGCAACATTCAACTAACAACTGATCAAATTCAGCCGCCTACTATGAGCTATCCAATGCATCACGGAAGAGAAGAGCCAAATCGGACAGTTCAATTAAAGTTTTGATACCTGATTGCTTGGTAGGATAGTATAAGGCTACAGTTTCGTACAGACCGTCGGTGAATACACGAAAAATTGTATTTCACGTACACCGAGAATGACTGCCTGCGAAGAGAAGCAGATTTTCTGTGTCCTCGGAGCTTTGCAGTGATACGTGTGACCCGGTGATTTTGTCCGATGAATCCCTTTCACTTTGGAATCATAAATATGCAGTATCCCTCCCTGTTACTCCACTGAACACTTTGCGGTCATTCAAACAGTGACAGCAACTGAATGTGTCGCAGAGTAATTGTTAGGCGGTTGTGGCTCAACACACACCGTACCAAATAAACCCGGATAGGCGAACGCGTGCATAAGTGTACAGACAGACAGACGGTCTGAGGACAGTCACTGAAACCGGTGCACGAACAGACAGACACACACACACAATCACAAACACGGGGCGAGTAGTAGGTATCAGGGCTGTGGTTCGGTATCGGTGGACGCTTGTGCCGTCAGATCTTACCGATTTGTTCATGTGACGCGGTCTACACGTAAATTATATATATATATATATATCGAGAGAGAGAGAGAGTCCGACAGTTGGACACAATTTGTTTTCAGTTAGTCGCATTTCACGATGCGGATAGGCTTTGTTCTGTGTATTGCATTAGGGATTGAGTTCACCTCAGGTTTGGTACCCAAACCAACACAGTATATTCACAACGATCAATGGCAACCTCTGGTCCGTACACTGGAATTTCAACATCCGTATAGTCGATGTTTTATTCTTTTGGAAGCGCAACGACGCCTTATCGACCGATTACGGATGAGACAGCTCCCCCTGAGGAACCATGTGCAAATCGAACCGGTTCCGCCAATCGGAGTTGTGCTAATCGAATTGCTGAATCCGTGTGATGAAACGGACAGGATGCAATGGCCCAGTGAACAAATGCACGAACAGTGTAGGTGTCCCTTTGAAGAGAGATAGAGAGAGAAACACGTGATTCCTTGTCAATTTAGATAACCTTATAGTCTCGCAGAAACGCATTGTCATACAGGCATCCGAGATATGGGGTGCACTGCATGCGCTCGAAACACTTGCACAGATAGTGCGTGAAACGGAAGAGAACCAGGTAAATTTTCCCCATCACACGTCCATTATGTCAGCTGGTGATTGAAGTTCAGACCATATTTGATGAGCCAAGGTTTGTTCATCGGGGATTTCTTATTGACACAGCAAGACATTACATATCGATGGAAGGTATCCGGAATTTCTTGGTAGGATAGCTTTATCTAAATTGAAATGCCTGGTGACTTCTCTCTTTCCTTCTCTGTCCCCCCGCATTAGGACGCTATGGCAATGGTTAAAATGAACGTACTTCATTGGCACATTGTTGACGATGAATCTTTTCCGTATCAATCGATGACTTGGCCTCTATTATCGATTCACGTGAGTGCTTTTGCCCCAGAGGCAAAATAATCCCAATTAAAAACGTCAGGGAGCTTACGATCCGAATGTGTACGTATACACTCAGAAAAAAGTACATGAAGTGGTTCAATATGCCCGCAGTCGAGGTATTCGTGTGATGCCGGAATTCGATACACCAGGTCAGTTTGTTTTTGAATGTATCACACAAATGAGGCTTTGTATCAATTCACGTTTTGATCTGTATATACGGAGCTCACGTTTCACTTCATAAAGTAGTTTGGTTAGGCAAAAAGCCAACTGGTTTACATTTAATTTTTTTAAATTTTCATTAATTTAACTAATTTTGCTCCTCAAACGTTCTCTGCCGATAGACACTTCCCATTTCGACGGCATTTTGGTAACGGTATGTGGTGTCAGGAACGTTTGCAAAAAAAGTTACTGCGTAAAGACTAGTTTTGCGATGCGATTCTTCCTGAGTTAATTAGAAAGAGGTAAAAAAGATGCGCACAATATGCATTGGTTAACGGAATTTGTTTTTGAATTGATTTTTATCACTGTATATATTATTTATTTGCATTACTTCGATGTGCAAACCCTGTGAAACTCTAAAAGGCTTTGTCTGTAAAATCATCAGCGGTTTCGAACCTTGGCACTTTGAATTGGTAATCCGAAGTAAGAAACACTGGGATTATGTGATTCAGCTTTCCATAGCCTATTCCACATCAGCAATGTATTGAATGGCTGAACTGTTCGGATGGCAGCATAGCGTGATAGACTTCCTGGTCTTCAAAATCACTCGCACCAGCCGATGTATACTCATGTATACTCATGAACCTACTTGATTAAAAACATACCAATTGTCATCAACATTGGACGTGCTGTTCAAAAGCGACCTGCTTATGATAGAATCTGCCGAAATCACGTCTTCAATAGAAAGCACTTAATATGCAGTTCTGCGTTTCGATTACATTTACCACGCCTCTGTAAAAGCAGACCGGAAAACCAAAACTTGCCCTCTTATTGACCACAGAAATTCACAAAACCTTGCAGTATTCAAGCAATGGACTCTCTCGGAGGAATAGTTTGATCCAGTGATGTCCTGGCAAAGATTTATTGGCACCCTAATCGAACTCATGTAGGTCACTACAGGGACCAACCCTATTCGTACATCATACACGATTATCACCTGTTCACAGCCAGACAGTTAAGTGGAATTTTTCTCGGCGAGAATTCAAAAGATGTCTAACCGCTAACATTTGGGGTAACTAAATCATGTTGGAAAACCTTATCGTGAGGACAAATTGAGGTTCTCAGAAACCCTTGGGTATGAATTTATTTCCCATTCCAAGGCTCTCGTACAAGCATATCACTGTCACGAGAAAAGTGAACTGCGAAATACCAGCACTAAGGCATGCCAGACGCGTTTCCACAACTATGTCTGAAGTAGCCGCATTCTTTAAAGTCCAGTCCTATGAAAGTATTCGCTGCTAGTGACCAAGTCGGATTACAGCTTCCCATACCTTCTGCCTTGTGTGCGATACCCCCAATTGACTACCATCACCTTGAAAACTGAAGTAATGAAAGTC